TAATACTACAGTCTTAATATTACGCTCTACAGATACATAATTTTAATACTACAGTCTTAATATTACGCTCTCCCGATACATAATTTTAATACTACACAGTCTTAATATTACGTTCTACAGATACATAATCTTAATACTACACATAGTCTTAATATTACGCTCTACAGATACATAATTTTAATACTACAGTCTTAATATTACGCTCTACACATACATAATTTTAATACTACAGTCTTAATATTACGCTCTACACATACATAATTTTAATACCACACATTGTCTTAATATTACGCTCTCCCGATACATAATTTTAATACCACACATCGTCTTAATATTACGCTCTCCCGATACATAATTTTAATACCACACATTGTCTTAATATTACACTCTCCCGATACATAATTTTAATACCACACATTGTCTTAATATTACACTCTCCCGATACATAATTTTAGTACTACACATTGTCTTAATATTACGCTCTACAGATATATAATTTTAATACCACACATTGTCTTAATATTATGCTCTCCCGATACATAATTTTAATACTACACATTGTCTTAATATTATGCTCTACAGAGATGTAATTTTAATACTACACAGTCTTAATATTACGCTCTACAAATATGTAATTTAATACTACACATTGTCTTAATATTATTCTCTACAAATAAATGACTTCAATATTACACATTGCAAGTACATACTGAGCAATTAGTTAATACAATGTCATTCTACATACATAATCAACAGATTTTCTGAATTTCATTGATTTTAATCTTCTTTTTTGAACATCTTTAACCAGTAAATTATATGAAGCTATGAACTATGTTTAATAGAGGATTTCCTAGTGTGCAGTTAAAATTCACCTACATAAACAAGTTCAAATGGATAAATATTAAGAAAATATATTTAAGATAATAAAATTCCATTCCAGAGTTGATAAATAAATGTAATTACTAGAATATTCTTCATTATTTGGATCATTTGTTACTAGGTCTGTATATATGAGGTGCAATAAGGCATCATGTATTAAAAAATGATGAAGTTAAAATATAAAAAACTCCTTAGGAAAAACTCTGATGTTTAAGAAATCCTTAAATGTATTAGAAATAATCACAAAAGAAAAACATGAACCAGATTCACCTAGTCAGCCCAAAAATCAAAGTAAGGCCTATAGATTAAAATTTATCAGTTAATTACTACTGATTCTAATATAAAAAAAATGAGGAAAGCCAACTGTTTTATTTACAAAAAATTAATAAATCATGTTTAACTCTTTTAGCACAGGGTCGGTCCCTGGGACCGACCTCATAACCATTTTGTGTTTGTTAAAGTTGTAATGCTATAACTTTTAAATTATTAAGCAAATGTTAACAAAATTTCGCAAATTATCAGTAAACATTATAATGCTTTCATAAGCAAAATATCATTTTTTTTATTAAGACTTAAGGTTTGTAAAACAATGATTTTCTTATGTCTTTTTTTTGCTTTTGCATGTTGCCTATCTATCATGCAAAGTAATATTGATTTTAAGATTAAAAATACTTATATGCATCAGAAAATTTTGAAATTTCACATGCAGAATCTTTATAACGTCCAGATAGTTATCAAATGTTTAAGAAAAAACTTTAAACTTTATCTGTTATTTTCAGTAATTAATCTCTGTACGGGTTTGGTA